ATGTTGGCAGAGCTGAAGACAAACAGCATGGGCTTAGGAGCAGGGAAGTAAGGGGAATAAGCCAGGAACTATTTGAAGGATGTTTTCTCCCGACCAGTCAATGTGGAAGCCAAGGAAATTGAGCTAACCCAAAAGACTACATTGCAAGGCTCCTGCTCAGGGTTCGGCTTTTACCCTCTGAGTATTTCCACTGAAAATGGTGCTGCCGGGAAGGAAGTGTGGGCGCAGTCTAACTCTGTCAGCCCCTGGCTCTTAGGCAGGCCCATCTGGTGATGGATGTCTTTCAAACATGAAGTAAATTTGGACTGATTTATGCTTTTACCTAAAAATCACGCAGTACTTCTAGAGCTGAATATTCAGTTGACTCTGAATCAGGCAGTGTTATAGCTATGTTTATTTTAGTTGTTTGTCTTTGCAAATCAGCTCAGACTGAAGGCAGAGAAAGATTTGCATGAATGATTGCAAACAAAAAACTGCTGATTTCCCCAAACTCTAGTTAATTGACCATCCACCAACTCTAGGAAAAACAGATGGAAACTGTGGCCAGAAAAGTAATTTTTAAAATAAAATCCTTGAAACACCATCAAAGAACCTGCAGCACAAGTCTATAGCAACGACTATCTTCTGGGGATCTTTAGTATTCGTTCAGAATAGGTAGCAGAGCAGGGCATACGTGACCCTTGGACCTCACTTCTTGTTGGCCGAGAGCCACCCAATTGTTGCACATTATAAACATTGCATCCTCTTCCTTGGCACTGACAGGTTTTCCCACAGGGGGCCAATGCCAGCAGCACCAAAGGCTTTCTGAGGGTTTCTCAAAGAAAGAGCTCATGTCTGAAAACCGGAGTCCAAGTGGCAAGCCAAGGAAAGGCCTCTGCAACGAGTCATCTAGAAAAGATAGAAAACCCTTTGTCTGAGGAGGAAGCACTTTGCCCTGAGTTTCAAAGAATATCCCTGAGGAAGTGCCTGTGGAGTCTATGAATATACCCAAGGAATCCTTCTCCTGTCATACTATTACAATTTGGATTGCAATTTTATTGCAGTGTATAAACCAAATCCAAGATCTAAGTCTCTATTCCCCATTGGTCTCTTCGCTGTTCATGTAGGAGGGATGAGGAGAGAACATACAAATGTCCTCATTTGCTCTTCTTGTTTGAAGGCTGTATTGTGCAGTCTAGACAATGGGGGGGATTAGTCTGCTTGAAAGAAATTGCATATTAAAGATAATCTTTGGGAGATGTCTAGTCCTGAGGGAGGGATATGAAGCCTGTGTCAATGCCTGAGGAAGAGAGAGATGCTTAGCGTTTCACTGAGGGCTAACCCTTGACATTGATCTGCTGGCCCTAATCTCCAGGTGATATGACACGTACTCCTCTTCAGCTGCTGGAAGAAAGAAGCAGTTTTGTACAAAGACTGTGCTGGGATTGGAACTTTTTCTGAATTCAGTGAGAAAAATTATTACAGAAAAAGATGGGGATAGTATTGTTGAAACTTCTGCTGTCACCATTTCAGGTAAGAGGATCCAAGGAGTTTGCCCTGTAAAGTGAGTCCTCTGAGGAAACCTGTGTATTTCAGCCTAGTAATTCTTTTTTTCCAAGACAAAAGTTATTCCAGATGTCCTGGGGGCCAGAGAATATTGTCTTCACTTGCCCTTACATATCACAACTTACAGAAAACTTAATTAAAGATGTGATACCAAACATCAAAAGCCATGACTACCATATGTGCTTCAGGAAGAGAACATGAGACATCAGGGAACATCTCTTTGATTTTTTTTTTTTTTTTTTTTCATTACAGTTTTAAATCACTCCACAGTTTCCAACAGCAGGGGTATTGCTGCAATGACTGAAAATACATTAGGATACTTTCTCAATGAAAATCGTGATGTTTTCTCCCCACCCTTTCAAGGCAGAATCAGATCTTCTCCCCCCCAGTTCCATGAGCACCTGTAGCTGCCTCAGGTTTCACAGGGAGCTTTTCTTCCTCTGAGTGTCTTAAGATATTTCTCTATTTGAGCTTCATAGATGTGAGCGTCATAGCTTCACCATCCAGAAGGTGTGTGTAGCAAGTCTTTGCCACACCAGGCAGCAATTAGAAATTAGATAAATTAATCCTCAGCCATGAGGCAACCAAATAAGAGTGTGTATGAAAAAGAGAGGCATTACACGCTCCACCAAGGGATGGCTGAAACCAGTCCAAATCCAGCTGGCCATCAGTCCATGCTCGGTCCCACCCCAGGTAGTTCTGTTATCAGGCAGTGGAGTGGTTCAAGGAATTGTTCTGGCTAAAAATGAGTTTAGCAAAAAGTAAAAAATTAGTTTTAAGCTCCTTGAAGTGGCTTATTTTCCAGTTGCTGTACTACTTATTGCTGGCACAAATGGAAAGGTAGGGAAACAATCTACAAAGACAGAATATCTGGATGATTCAGCATCCTGCAATATGCTTAGAATCAGCTGTAGTGATTCCATGCTTGCTGTTGAATAGGGATTTTTTAAGAGTTGTGGACAGAGTTTCTTTCTGAACGATGGTAAAGAAGCAGAAGTCTATGGGGAAGCAGAGTTAAATGTCTTTATCCTTGCCTCCATCGATGAGTTCTGTAGGAATGTCACGGAGGTCTTGTGAAATTGCGAGCGATGTTCTGCTCGCAAAGATCAGAGCAGAAATAGCCAGCCTAGGGATGCAAATTCAGATATTTTGTTCTACTTTGGGAGCGCTGAGACCGTTCTAATGCACTTTTCTAATTTACCGAGCAAGCGGGGTGTAAATGGGAAGGTTGCTGCACAGACTGCTGTAAGATAAACAGGCACGAGAGTGGCTGGGGCTTGCTGACTCAGCTGTAGCGACTCCAGTGCTTCCCCACGTCCCGCTGCTCTGCATCCTCGGCGCTGGTGTCACCGCCTTTAATCGCAGACGTGTCACCGCAGTCACGAAACACAGAGAGGGAGGCGAGCACACACACGTACCCCCCACCACGCAGGCGTACGGCCGGATCCTGGCAGTTGCGCGGCAGCAGCGCCCTTGCGGCCCACGCAGCTGCTCTGCATCTGAGGCAGGGATGTCCCCTGCGCTGCGACGGCAGATGTCAGACACGGCAATTTAGGGGACAGGGTGCCACCGCAGCCCCAGCCAGGAGGCCGTGAAAGAAAGGGCACAAAGCAAGGCCGCATCTGTTCTGCAACAAAGGACATCTGTCCCTGGCCCGAGCAGCTTTTTTGGCATGATTTCACAAGGACAAAGGCTCAGGTTGACTGATACAAGGCTGGTACTCCATAAAACAAGCCGTAGGGTCTTAGGCCGTCCAAATGTGCGCTGACAGTGAGACGGCGCTCTGGTAGACGTGAGGTTTTATTCTTCCATCTGAGCGGAGAGTGTAGCGCAGGATGGGGACCATCCTGTGCGCAGCCTTTAACCGCACATCTGCCCATGTTTTAGGGTCTCTTTGTGCAGTACAAAAACTAGACTACCATCAGATTATAGACAACAGATGTCCTGTTCAAGCAGTTTTGTGTGTGACATCCTCATGGCAGGAAGATTTGGTTTGCTTCTTTAGAAGCTGGGTTCATCTGTTGCTTTCTCCAGGTTGTTAAATTTTAGTTGTGGGCAACTTATTTATTGAAAGGCTGCAAACCACAGATGCACATCTGCCTTCTAATGTGCCATCAGTAAAGTGTTCTGGAATGAAGCTGACCATAGCAAATTCTAATTATTAGCTTGCTTAGCATCATTGTTAAAAAATATGCTGTACCTCCTTCCCTCCTCTGCTGGTGACAGTAGTGGCTGTAATGCTTTTTAGCTGGGGGGATCACAGCAGAAAATATTATAGCTGAGTGTGTTTGCACATGTGCCCACAAGTATAATGCAGTGTAACAATATCGTACAAAACCAGAACAGTCTGGGTTATTCATTACTAAGATTGTACTAACAAGATTAGTATATTTAGTTATTATATACTGAAAAACAGGAGCAAATGACAATTAACATTTTAAGACCTTGTAACTTTTTCCTGTGCATTCCTTTTTATGTTCAGCCCAAGTTGTGACATGCCTGTCTCTGAGGGTGTGGGGAACAGCCAGCAAAACCCTCACTGTGGGCTGCTGCACAAGTGCACAAACACATGAGAACTTTGTAATGCATTTATGCATTAAAAAAAACCCCAAATCTATGGAAACTTGTTACAGGTACCTCTTAATCGCATGTTGGCTCCACTGTGTTATGCTGCCCATGCTTGATAGTGTTAAGGCAGAACAAAGAAGAAAGATTTTAGCGTGGTTTATAAAGCTCTGGTGGGGATGGTGTACCCACTGTCCTGCAGGTAAGAGGCTCTGACCTTGCATCTCATAATGATAGTTACTGAAACTGTTGGCTTTGCCCAGGTGTTTAAGAAGCTGATTTTCCTACTGAGTTTTTGAAGAAAAAGAAAATAGATTGCTTTACAAGGAACCAAGACCAGAGATAGATATCCTCACTTTACTCAATGAATGGGAAATATGACTGAGAAAAAAAGGAAGAAGAATTTCAGAACTGTAACATTCTGTCCGATAATCTGAAACTTAACACCTGCTGATGCATCTGCTATGTCTGCAGTCTTAACAGAGAGGTGTGAGGCACAAAATTCACACTGGGATCCAGATGAACTTGGTATACCACAAGGTACAGAGTTAAAATAAAGAAAGTGGAAATCGTTCTTGCGTATAACAAGGATGTCCAGATAGAATTTCAAGTGTCCAGTGATGGTATGAGAAACTGCAATAAGAGAATGGTTAAAGAAAGATCTAATTTTCAACCGCTAACTGAAGATTTTCTTCTGCAGAATAATTTGTTACATACTGCTGTTTGATGGCTTTTACAAACACACATCTGTAATAGAGCTTCTGGGATTTGAGCAGTCTGCAATATTAGAGCCACTGTTCATTTCCTTTAGCCCTCAAGGTGACAAAAGACATGGTAAGTACAGAGGCATATATAGAGAGTTCACATTGTCTGTCTTTATCTTCATCTAGCTTGAGAGCCTAAAATGAAATTGCGGGCATCATGGGCAGCCAGTGGGACCTTCAGAGAGTGACTGAGAGTTTTCCTTCTTTCCATTACAAGCAGCCTGTGCTTGGGCAGCGTGAATTCTCCACTTGAAAGACCTGATGTGCTGGATCCTGAGGTATGCTCTGGAATCCTTCCTACCAACTCTGTCAAGTTCCTGGCCACCTCTGGCCAGAGGGATGGCCCCCGGCTAGCGCATGCTGAGCACAGGAGGAGACAGAGCCCTCCTCCGGATCATCGTGTTTTCACCTGAACCCCGTATCCCTGGCAAAGGATGAACCCTTTGAATGCTCTTCCTGGTTCTTGCTTGGGAAGCTGCTCTCGGGTTTAATTCATGGCCTACACAGATGTCAATATGCTCCATCAGCAGGTGAGATAAAGCCATCAATTTTGGCATAAAGCAGTTTGGTAGAGGCTTGTGGGCATAGAAAGAGAGTTTAAGACATCTGTGGATACTCTTGATGCTAGTGCCACCTTCCGCACCACCGGTCTCCTCATTTTCGCATCATTCTTCATTAGTTATAGTAATGAATGAGATCAGGGAACTTATTTGGGTTAAAAATATTCTGATTTAAAACCTGGATCAATTCCCTAATCAGTTCACCTTGTGATGTTTATAGCTGCATTATATAACTGCATCCTGAATAAATGTTCCCTAAGAGCAAAATGATACCACCTGAGGTTTGTTCAGACACCAGTTTCTAATCAGTAAATGTCCTGGCACCACTGAGGGAGTGGTGAAGTAGTGGAAATGAATAGCTGTAAAGGAGATGGGAGCTGGTGGAGGTTCACATGAGCACTGCCGCTAAGAGAGACATTCAGGAGCCATGGTCTGGGTGGATTGCAGATGTAATGTACTATACAGAGGCCAGCAAAATAGATATTCCTGAATTACCATTAATTAGGAAATGCAGAGATAGGTCTCAAGCTTCTACTACAGACCTGTGCAAATTTATCTGCTGTAGATTTTTCATTCCCCGAATTCCTCCTCAAACACTCCAGTAGTTATATATAGCCAAAATTGTTGGAAGGCAGCCATTCATGAGGAAAAGGACAGTAGTTGGCACATACTGCTACTATGACTGGCACTCAGAGAAACTGTAATGACATGCAGAGTCAAAGAGGTGTTGTGTTTAAAGGTAATGAATTCTTTAAGCAATCATTATTATAAAGTGTTCACTCAAGAGGGTGAAACTATGCTTATTTTATTAGCAAAATAAGAAAAGCTGGAATTGATTTTTTTTCTGGTTTTAACTGTCATTTGGCCACACCTTCCAGCTAACTGAAACAAAATAAGAGGCATTGTTTATTTACTGGTTTAAAGCCAGTTTCTTGCACTGAACTCTTCTAAATACGGTATTGTAAGGATCAGTACTTTGTAATGTATGTTTTAGCCTTTTAACGTGTATTTTTGGATTATGTTGTTTCAAAATTAAGTGCCTAAGGTATTCACAGTAATTACTGAGAGAAATTAAGAAGATTCATCTCTTGCAAAATGTCATTCCCACTCTTGTTAGTTAGCCTTAGCCCTCAGCCAAAGTGTATATCCAAGTTATACACCACACCCCAAAGAAATACTAACATTTTCCTAAGAGGATAATAATGTTTTCAGATCACCAGAATAAAAGCTTCCAGAATTATCCTGATGATTGAGTCATAAACAAAGTCGCTCTGAAATGGAGAGATAAAAGTCATAGGGATTAATACCAGATCTTGCATGTTTGTAACTGTTAGTACTTCTCCAGTCCTGCTATGGAGGTGAGCGGATGCTTCAAATGCGAACCGTGGGCATGCTGAGTCCAGAGATGTCCAGGTTTAGCCTTGGTTCTGGTTCTTGTTGCTCTCTCCTGTCCTCACAGTTGGCTAAATCCAAGCTCTAGAGACAAATATCTCAGTCCCTTGAATTGACACTGAGACCTGAACTACCCTGCTGGCTCCTGTAAAATCCTGTGCCCTAAAAAAGAGTCAGGATGGGTTGTAAGGAATGGAAAGGAGATTGTTTGTTAATGCTACGAGTAGCAAATAGAACCCACAGTTTCTCCAGGGGATTTGGCATCTGATTTATTTAAACACACTCTGGCTTGTCTACTGTCACCAGAGAGCCCTCCCTAGGGCTGCACGAAGAACTTTGCAGGTCTCTTGCTCATTTCTTGACAGTTTTTTGACATTACAATGATCCATTTATTTTCTGGTGGAAAGTTTAAAAATAAACACTGGAAATTCTTGAATAAAAACATGCAATTTTAAAAATTTGTGTGCACTGTCCCTCTGCCCCAAATTCTTCATCGCTTCCAGTTGCAGGTGGATGGCAGTCAAAAACATGCTATTGTTGCTTTTGTGTTTTATCTTTAAAAGATCTTTCTCTCTGCGTTTTATTCTGAGATTTTCCTGATGGGTGTGACAGAAATCTGAAAGCTGTAAGTTTTATTTATTTATTTATTTACCCACCTACTTTGCTGTTAGGCTCTAGGAATGATCATTTGCTTTCCTCTGAGGAGTCATTAATTGTGTAACATGAATTGTCCATGGTTGTAGAGACTGCAAACCGTCTGCCGGCACAATGGCCCCTGTGGTAAAGGTTAGGGAAGCCTCATCATGGTACCCATTAGCACTATTTTAGTTAAGAACCTGTCAGTCTCCATTAAACCCCCCATTATTCAGGATTTCTGAGCAATCTATAAATATTTGCTCTGGTACAAAAGAGTTCAGCTGAAGAGGTCCTATTTTTAGCTGGAGGTTAGGTTTGGTTGTTTGTTGTTTTGTTTTTCATCTCCTTTTAAAAAGATGCTCTCAAGGTTAATGGAACCATAATTTGACCTCCCCTTTTAATACTGTGCCTGTTTGCCCTATGTGTTTATTTCTGTATATGTGAGTATTCCCCTGACAAATGTGTCACAACATGAGTCACTGCAAAAGATGGAGACCAAACAATAAAGTTCATTGGCAGTCCGTACAAGACTGAATTCAGTAGTAGTCAGGGCACAGTGTATCTTCTGTCACAAGGTTTTGAACCTTTGTTAGAAAAAAACATCCTGTATTTAATCCCCGATGCCTTTCTTGGGGCCTAATCATGCAATGGGATGTGCCTACACTGGCCTAAATGCTCAGTGAATGGTGTCATCATCTCCTGCCCTGACTCAACAAAGCGCTTTAGTGGGGGGGTGTGGCTTTTGTGACACATAGGTCTGATGGGTTTGTCTTCTATTAAATTGTGTACAAGTTCTCCTAATGAAGGTAGTGGTGGGTTTTTTCCTGACTGTTCATAGTACAGCAAGCCTTCTAATGGAAGCAATCAGAAATATCATCAATCATAGTGAACTAAACCGAGCTCAGCTGTCTTGTTATGAAAGGCCCGGACCAATTACTTTGAAGGCCAAATCATATCTCATATAGCTCCTGTGGTAAAGAATGCTGCACGTTTTGATTAGTGTTTATTGGTGTTCATCTACATAGCTGGCATCACATAGATATAAGCGCAAGGAGGAAAAAGTCTGTTTGGGCCTTGCTCATCTGTCTCTAATTTGGGAGACAGAGTAAGGAGTAGGCTTCTAGCTGTCAAGCTTTCTGTATTCAGTCTTGCATTCTACAATGTATTACAAATACATACTAAATCCTGTGTTGAAAAAAGCATTGCTAAAGTCTCGCCCTTGGGAACTGAGAAGACTATGAATTAAGGTCGCAGTGCATTCCAAATTTGGCCCGTTTGGCATACAGAGTAGAATAAAATCTTTGTTGACTCTTACAATTTTAGTGCACATGACTGACCAGATATGTGTCTAAAAGGTACAGAAACCAAAATCATCTAATTTCAAGCTTCCTGCTTCCCTGAGCCTTCTAGCAGAGTCTGTGGGAATGCAAATCTTACTACTTTCTGTAGATACGGCAGGGAGTACTAAGCCAACCTGACATACTGAAGTCCACGTGACCGTGTTGGATGCACCCAAGGGTGTGACGGGAGCTGACTGATATCATAGTGAGGCTGCTCTCTACCCCTTTTGAAAGGTTATAGTGACTGAGGTAGGTTCATGATGACTGGGAAAAGGCATCACCTGCATTCAAGAAGAGGAAGGAGGATCTAGGGAGCTACAGGTTGCTCAGACTCACCTCAGTCCCTGGGAAGATCATGGAAACTTGTGAGACAGCATCTGAGGTACTATGTCTCATTTTGGGTTCCCCAGTGCAAGAAAAGCATGACGTATTGGATTGAGTTCAGTGGAAGGCTGCTAAAATGATTAGAGGACTGGAGCACAAGATGTGTGAAAAGAGGCTGAGAGAGCTAGGTCTGTCCCACCTGGAGAAGAGAAGGCTGAAGAGAGATCTTATTGATGTCTACAACTACCTAATAGGACAATATAGATAAGATTGCGTCAGACTTCTTGGGCACACCGTGGCAGGATGAGAAAAAAACGTGTGCTGGAACATGGGAAATTCTGACTTTGTATAAGGAAATTTTTTTACCATAGAGCTGGTCAAACACTGGAACGTGTTCTTAGAGAAGCTGTAAACTCTCCACCCTTGCAGATCTTCAAAACACAGCCACACAAGCCCCTGAGCAACTTGCTTTAACTAGATCTGCTTTGAGCAAGGATTTGGACTGGAAACCTCCTGAAGTCCCTTCCAACTGGAATGACAGCATGCTGGTTTTGAAGGAAATGAGGTATTATGTTTATTTCAGTAATTTAATGGGACACCCTAGAACTTGTGATTGGAGTTAAAAATAGAGTTTGGAGTTTGCCAGACCTCCAGTCAATCACATCTGTGTTTCCAACTTTGTTCTCACAATAGGAGAGCAGTTGCTTTCTTGGAATTGTTGGTGCCTGGCTGTGGGAGGCAATTGCAATGACACAGCAGAAAATTGTCATGAGATTGTCACAAGTAGAAAAGGTTTAGTGATAGCAACTTAGGTCATAGCCAAACTTGACCTTAGAAAGTCTTTTTTTTTTTAGGTTCTTCCACCGTTGTCATTCTAAAGGAGCCAGTTCATCACAGCCTTTCTGGAGTTCTGCATCACAGCAACTCCACTGTTAACTATGAA